GTTTGGCACTGGAGCGAGGGCTGGAGACGGGGCTTTCTCCGGGACAAACGTACTGTCAGAAGCCTTTGTTCTTTTGGTGAGCCCTTCCCTGGGGCGGCAGACAGTCGCCATATCTGGGACTCCAGCAACCTGGCTCACACTGGTAGCCCCGCCCTGCTGACTCCCTGAGGCCCCGCCCTGCCCCACTCAACTTTCAGGCCCACCCAAGCTGTTGGCACTTCCTTAACCATAGGATTGGCCTGACTTGGATCCTGCTTCAGGTTTTCCTAAATTCTTTCAAACAAGCAGCATCTGGTCTCAGCTAGCCCAATACCGCTCGTTAAGTAATACACAGAAACAAACACAGGGAGGCAGCCAAAATGAGGAGACAAAGAAACAGGTCCCAAATGAAAGAACAGAACAAAACCCCAAGAAAAGAACTAAGCGAAATGGAGATAAGCAACCTAACAGATGCTGAGTTCAAAATACTGCTTATAAGGATGCTCAAGGAACTCAGTGAGGGCCTCAAGAGCATAATAAAGGACCAGTCAGAAATGATCGATCCACAGTTAGAAACGAAGGAGGCTTTAACTGAAATAAAGAATAATTTACACAGCTTCAATAATAGAGTACGTAAATCCAAGGAGCAAACCATCAATTTGGAATATAAGGAAGCAAAAAACGCCCAATCAGAACAGCAAAAAGAAAAAAGAATCCAAAAAAATGAGGATAGTGTAAGGAGCCTCTGGGACAACCTCAAGCGTGCCAACATTCGCATCTTGGGGTACCAGAAGGAGAAGAGAGAGAACAAGAAATCGAAAACCTGTTTGAAACAATAATGGCAGAAAACTTCCCTAACTTGGTGAAGAAAACAGACATACAAGTCCAGGAAGCACAGAGAGTCCCAAACAAGATGAACCCCAAGAGGCCCACACCGAAACACATCATCATCAAAATGCAAAAGGTTCAGGACAAAGAGAGAATCTTAAAAGCAGCAAGAGAAAGGCAGCTAGTTACCTACAAGGGAGTTCCCATTAGGCTGTCAGCTGATTTCTCAAAAGAAACTTTGCAGTCCAGAAGGGAGTGGCAAGAAATATTCAGAGTGATGGAAAGCAAGAACCTACAACCAAGATTACTCTATGCTGCAAAGCTGTCATTTAGAATCGATGGCCATATAAAGACTTTCCCAGACAAGAAAAAGTTAAAGGAGTTCATCACCACTAAATCGTTATTCTATGAAATGATGAAGGGTCTTTTTGAAGAAAAAGATAAAATATATGAACAAACAAAATGGCAATGAATACATATCTATCAACAATGGAATCTACAAACAAAATGAACATATAGAACAGAAACATTCTCATAGATACAGAGAACATTTTGTTGGTTGCCAGTTGGAAGGGGGGTTGGGGGAATGGATGAAAAAGGTGAAGGGATTAAGAAGTACAAATTGGTTGCTAAACTGACAAACCTCAAAGGGAATGGGGCTGGGGGGTGGGTGGGAAGAAATAAACCAAAGAACTTATATGCATAACCAATGGACACAGACAATAATGTGGGAAAAGGTGGGAGGGAGGCGGGAGTGGGGAGGAGGGAGTCAATGGGGGAAAAAATGTGGAACATCTGTAATACATTCTACATTCAACAATAAAGATTTAAAAAAAAGAAACTAGAACTCTAAGAATTGGAAAAGAAGAAGAAAAACAAACAAACTCTTACATTATATGCAGATAACATGATTGTTTAAATAGAGTACCTAATTAAATCTTCAGACAAATAGGAATAATAGGAACATTTGATAAGGTGGCTGGATGTAAGATCAGTTTGCAAAAATCAGTTGCATTTTATAAACCATAATAATCAGAAAATATAATTTTTTATTCATTCTTTCATTTATTTTTTAATCTTCACCCGAGGACATTTTTCCATTTTTGCTCGGATAGATTGGGAGGGAGGGAGAGAGAGAGAGAGAGAAACATCGATGTGAAAGGGACATATTGAGTGGCTGCCTCCCCACGACCCCAACCAGGGCCGGGGACAAGCTGCAACAAAGGTAGGTGCCCTTAGCGGGAACCAAACCCGGGTCTCTCTGGACCGCAGGCCAACGCTCTAACCGCTGATCAAAACCGGCCAGGGCCAGAAAATATAATTTAAAAAGACACCATTTCTGCCCTGGTCGGTTTGGCTCAGCAGTTAGAGCGCAGGCCTGCGGTCCAGAGAGACCCGGGTTCGGTTCCCGCTAAGGGCATGTACCTCGGTTGCAGTTTGTCCCCGGCCCTGGTTGGTTGTGCGGGTGGCAGCCACTCGATGTGTCCCTTTCACATCGATGTTTCTCTTTCTCTCTCTTCCTCTCTCTCCCTCCCACTCTATCTGAACAAAAAATGGAAGAATGTCCTAGTTTGAGGAAAAAAAAAAAGAATAAATTTAATCGTATATTGTAAGGTCCTCATACAAAAAAATATAAAAATTTGAGTGACAAAGAGGACCTAATAAATGGAGAGATATTTCATGTTTATACATTGGAAGATAATATCGGAAAGATGTCAGTTCTATTCAAACTGATCTATAAATTCAATGCAGTTTCTATCAAAAATCCCAGAATGTTTCATGGAACTTGACAAGCTGATATAAAATTTGTTTGAAAAGTAAAGAGACTGGGACAATCAACACATCTGAAGCATAATAATGGGCTTGAGACTTGCTCTATCAAATATCAGGCATTTTTATGAAGCTACAGAAATAATGTGTTACCTAAAGGGGCAAGACAGGTGAGTATGAAAAATAAATATTCAATAAGTGTAACTTATGGGACGAAGTTAGATCCCTTTTTCACATTGTGATAAAAAAATCAACATCAGATAAAAGAAAGGATTAAATATCAAAAGCAAAAATGTTAGTAGGAAATAAAAAGTATTTTTCTGGACTTGGAGAAGGGAAAGACACTAACTGTAAAACAGATTATGCTTATGGGATTTCTTACATGAGGTTTTTCATCTTTACTGGGTTCTCCTCCTTCCTGATCACATTTTTAGTTTTGAGATTTTCTTGATCTCCTTAAACACATGACTAATCATCTGCTTTTGTGCATCTCCTTATATTTATTGTCCCGTGCTCAGCTAACTTCTTTGCACTAGTAATCCAAACAGCCCAAATGCTTAGTTCAGATGTCTGTGGCTTACATTTACATGCTAAACTGAAGGTGGGGAAGGAAGTCAAAGGAGGAGTCTGTCATGGTGAGATGCACTGTAAGTCCGGCATGCTTGATTGTATTTGAATGTTACAAATCCCAATGTGAGATCTACAGAGACTCTGAGGTCTCTGGAACATTCTCTTAACCACGGCATCCCCTTTCTCAAGCCAATTTGCAAAGTTAGGTAGTAGCATGGACAGAGGCAAAGGGAGAGGCAAAGGGAAAGTCAAAGGAAATTACTCTCACTGTCTTAGAGTTGGAATGTACTATAGGTTACCAAATGTACATAAATGGAGAGGGTTCTGTTTTCCTACTAGCAAAGCAGAGCTTAGCCTTGTCCAAACAGGTAACTCCAAGGTTCCAGACTTGACCATGGAGCTGAATAGTTCATTGGTCTGGGGAGCAAGTCCTTTCCTTGCTCAGTCTTTTGATTCTTTCCCACCCCCCATAAAGTTTAGGCATGTTGCTTAGGAGTAGTTGAGATTCTGGGTGGCATCCCACAAGGATTTGAGTGTTTTGTCTTTGGTACAGAGGGCTTTAAGATTCTGAGTGACTCTTGCTACTTACCACCTGCACATTTAGCTCACATAGATAACCTTTTTTTCTCGAGGACATTTTTTCCATTTTTTGTTCAAATAGAGTGGGAGGGAGAGAGAGAGAGAGAGAAACATTGATGTGAAAGGGCCACTTTGAGTGGTTGCTACCTGCACGATCCAGCCAGGGCCGGGGACAAACTGTAACTGAGGTACGTGCCCTTAGCAGGAACTGAACCCGGGACTCTCTGGACCGCAGGCTGACGCTCTAACTGCTGAGCCAAACTGGCCAGGGCTAGATAATCTTTCTTTTCATAACAAATTACAATCCCTTGTCTTTGTGTGGGGTTACGGTTTCCCCGAAGCTTTCACTCTTGTGTCATCGTTCTCTGTACTGTAGCCAATGTGATCCTTCTGAAGCAGAAATGTGTTTACGTGCTTCCTGCTCCACTCCTCTGCTTAAAACCCTTTGGTGACTTCTCTTGGTTTCCGAATGAAATCCAAACTCCTTAGCTTAGCTTATATGATACAGGACTGTTCAGTCTTCTAGCCTTTTCTCTTGATACTCTCCTCTGGTTTTACTGAACTTCAGTACTTTGAACACACTTGACTCTTTTTGTTCAGGTTTTTGTGCATACTGCTTCTTCTGCCAGAATACTCTCCATCTTCCTTTTTACCTGGTTAATATATGCTCTTCCTCAGCTTCTAGGAAGTTATCCCTCAACATACCAGCACTGGGATAGTTGCCCATCCTTTGTGTTTCTGTAACTCATATAGAATCATAACACTTAAGACATAATGGTTAAATATTTGCTTGACTTTCTTCTCTACTGAACTTGAACTTTTGTGAGAGCAGGGTCTGTGCCTTGTTTATTGTGTGTTTCTCTTAAAATTAAATACAGTGCCTGGCACACAGAAGGCTCCATTAGATGTTTGTTGAATGAACAAACATCCCTGTGAATTGAGTGGTATAATGCTTAGTCTCCCTTTACTCCCTACCCCTTTAGGGGATGGAGAGATGGAGCTTAAGGACTCCCACAAAGTCACAAAAGTGCTTGGTGGAAGAAGTTGAGTTAGGGCCTGTCTTCCACCAGAGGAAAGCATTTTGCAGTGGAAGATTCTGCCCAAATGCCTGACCCAGTGCGCTTCTTCCCTGCTGGGTGTGTGGTGGTTAAGAGAACAGACTGATAGAGATGCTCCTGGTGGGTGGGCAAATGCATGGACTTGTGGCATTTGGGTGCATGGGTTTACCAACATGTGATCCTCTTTTTCCCCTCCCACTCCCTTCCTGTTCACAGCATCAAGCTGAGCTCCCAGCCCTCAATACAGGCTGGGGATGATGAGAAGAACCAGAGGACTATCACTGTCAACCCTGCCCACATGGGGAAGGCGTTCAAGGTTATGAATGAACTGCGGAGGTACTTTTCCTATTTTGCCTGTGTCCTTTTGGAAGGAACTTGCCGGGTGAGCGTCATCGGGTTCTAATGTCAGGACACCATCTCCTAGTGAATTCTGACTCTTCCCCACCCACTTTTAGACAGTCTCTTGGCTTCCTCTTTCAAACTCTGATTGAGACAGATGTCGTTCAGAAATCACTCTTTCCTTTGTATTTAACACCTATCATTAGTGCTTAATCACAAGGGAAAAAATTCTTTATGGTTACAGAAGTTATGTTCATGAACTTGATTTCCAACTGAACCAGCTGCTAGAAGTCCTATAATAGAATGATTACCACACCTACACACAATTGCAGGTTAAAGATTGTGGATGCCATGCATTTTCTTTTGGCCTCTCTCATTCTTTGGTCTGAACTTAGCTTGTTAAAACAGCCATATGGAAGGAATAATACCTAGCTTCTCAAATGCAATTTGACTCTATAAGGAAATAAATGAAGTGCAAATGTATTCATCCTAACTGAGCTAAATGGTGATGGGTGTGCAGACTATATGTAAGGCCAGTGTGCATGATTGATGAACTTGTTGCAAGACAGGTTCAGGGCACTGAACATGTTTTTATGTACAAAGTTTGTGCACACAATCACTTTCTAGAGAGCTCAGAAGCTTCTTTTGCCCATGCCATTATTTACTGTATACTTTATCCTGTTGTGAACTATAATTGTTTATCTCCTCTTTTCTCTGTAGCTCCTGAGTTTCCTGAGGGCAGGGCCAACTTCTGAATCATTTTGATCTCTAGTGCCTAGTACTTCATAGGAACTAAGGCAGTGGCTAGGCTCTGGGATGGGTGAGTGGGAATAAAAGGTAAAAAATGTAAATAGGTCAATGAAAATTATATTTTGCAGTACAAATAGGTGTTTTATGAAGGAAGGATACATCGGGCACCTGCCAGGTGGAAGGTGTGCAAAAATTACTATTTCTTAAAGGGTGCATGGAAGCAGGTATGTCAAACTGCAACTTTGGAGAACACTTCCTAAAGGGGATGATGCTTGAGGTAAATTTTGAAGGACAAATAAGAGCTAAAGAATGAAAAGTAGGTAAGAAAAAGTCTTTCAGGCAGAGAAAATGCCATGAGCAAAAACACGTATAGCTGAAGATGTGTTTGTTGAGTAAGGGGTTGAACTGCTTTTAAAAAAGTTCTATCTGATTCTATATTTGTTTCTTTATTTCTCCTTTTCTGCAGGGCCCATTCTTTGGCATATAAACCAAGTTAAATTAAATTTATCTTATGCCCTACTGCTCAGTTTTTATTAGGCCTCCTACCAGATTTCCTGAAAGCTCTGTCCATATTTGTCTTAGGCAGTGGGCAGTGCAGAAGTTCATGCCTATGGGTATGGTTCTCTTTTCACTAAAGAAATTTGTGTTGTGTTCCCTAGACTCTATTGAAGTTTTTCATGTAGTTTCCTTGAGTGTGGCTTGTACCCTTGGTCTGATTTAAGACTCCAGGTTTTCAGATAAACAACATAGCTTTACACCTCATAGAATTAGAAAAAGAAGAAAAAACTAAGCCTAAAGTTAGCAGAAGAAAGGGACTAATAAACATTAGAGTAGAGATAAGTGAAATAGAGACTAGCAAGACTCTAGAAAAAAATCGGTAAAACTAAGAGTTTTTGTTTTAAAAAGATAAACAAAATTAACAAATCCAGCTAAACTAACCAAGAAAATAGAGAGAGGACTCAAAATTATAAATTAAAGAAGGGACATTCCAACTGATACCACAAAAATACAATTGATCATAAGAGGTCATGATGAACAATTATGTGCCAACAAATTGGATAACCTAGAAGAAATGGATACATTTTTGAAATATGCAACCTTCCGAGACTGAGTGAAAAAGAAATAGAAAATCTGAACAGACCAATAATGATTCAGGAGATTGAATCAGTAACCAAAAATCTCCCAATAAAGAAAAGTCCATGACCAGATGATTTCACTGGTGCATTTTACCAAACATTCAAAGAAGAATGAATGCCAATCTCTCTCAAACTTTTCTAAAAACTTGAAGAGGCGGAAACACCCTCAAATTCATTTTATTAAAAAATTTTTTTTCTTAATTGATTTTTGAGAGAAAGGAAGGGAGAGAGAGACAGAAACATTGATTAGAGAGAACATCGATTGGCTGCCTCCTGCATGTCCCCTGCTGGGGATTTGGCTCACAACCTGGGCATGTGCCCCAACTGGGAATCGAATCGGGGATCTCTTGGTTCATGGGTCGATGCTTAACCACTGAGGCACATCGGCCAGCCATCTCAAATTCATTTTAACAAGGCCAGAATTATCCTGATACCAAAGCCAGATAAGGACAGTACAAGAAAATAAAACTACATGTCAGTATCCCTGATGAATAGTGATATAAAAATTCTCAACAAAATACTAGCAAACTGAATTCAATATCACAATAAAAAGATCACATACTATGATCAGGTGGGATTTATACTTAGGATGTAAGGATGGTTTGAGATCTGCAAATCAATAAATGTGATAAGCCAAATTAATTGAAAAATTAATAATCCTCTCAATAGATGCAGAAAAAGTGCTTCAACACCCTTTTATGATTATCATTTTTTTTTTAATCTTCACCCGAGGACATTTTTCCATTTTTTTGTTCAGATAGAGTGGGAGGGAGAGAGAGGAAGAGACAGAGAAAGAGAAACATCGAAGTGAAAGGGACACATCGAGTGGCTGCCTCCCGCATGCACGACCCAATCAGGGCCAGGGACAAACTGCAACTGAGGTACGTGCCCTTAGCGGGAATCGAAGCCGGATCTCTCTGGACTGCAGGCCGACGTTCTAACTGCTGAGCCAAACTGGCCAGGGCAACAACACCCTTTTATGATTAAAAATTCCAACAAGTTGGGTATAGAAGGAACATCCCTTAATATAATAAAAGCCATATATAAAAAACCCACAGCTAACACACTTAGTGGTTGAAACCTTTTCCTTTGAGCTCAGGGACAAGACAAGGGTACCCATTCTCACCATCCTATTGAACATAGTACTGGAAGTCCTAGCCAGAGCAATGAGGCAAGAAAAAGAAATAAAAGGCATGCAAATCATAAAGGAAGAAGGACAATTGTCTCTGTTTGCAGATGATATGTCCAAATATAGAAAACTCTAAACATGCCACCAAAAAAGTGTTAGAACTAATAAACAAATTTGGTAGTTACAGGATATAAAATCAACATACAGAAGTCTTTGCATTTCTATATACTAACAACAAACTAAGAAAGAAATAAAGAAAACAATCTTACTTACAATAGCATAAAAAACAATAAAATGCTTAGGAATAAATTTAACCAAGGTGATGAATGATCTGTATACCAAAAACTTTAAGACATTGATGAAAGGAGATGGAGGAAGACACACATAAATGCAAAGGTATTCTTTGTGGATTGGAAGAATTAGTATTGTTAAAGTGTCTATACTACCCAAAACCATCTATAGATTCAATGTAATCCCTATCAAAATTCCAATGGCAATTTTCACAGAAATAGACAAAACAATGTAAAATTTGTATGGAACCACAAAAGACCCTGAATAGCCAAAGCAATTTTGTAAAAGAAGAGCAAAGTTGGAGACATCACACTTCCTGATATTACGCTATATTACAGTGCTATAGTAATCAGAACAATATGGTTGAGATACAGACCTATGGAATGGAATTGAGAGCCCAGAAATAAACCCATGTATATATGGTAAACTAATTTTTACAAAGGAGCCAAGAATACTCAGTGGGTAATGGATAGTTTCTTCAATAAGTGGTGTTAGGGAAACTGGACAACCACATGACAAAGAATGAAATTGGACCTCACTCACAAAAATTAACTCAAAATAGATTAAAGACTTAAATGTTAAGACTTGAGACCATAAAACTCCTAGAAGAAAACAGGGAAACAGCTCTTTGTCATTGGTTTTGGCACTGACTTTATGTCACCAAAAGCACAAGCAGCAAAAGCAAAAATAAACAAATGGGAATACATCAAACTGGAAAGCTTCTGCATAGCAAAGGAAACCATCAACAAAATGAAAAGGGAAACTACAAATGAGAGAAAATACTGGCACATCTTATATTTGATTAATACCCAAAATATATAAGGAACTCGTACAACTCAATAGCAAAAAACTAAATAATCTCATTACAAACTAGGCAAAGGACCTGAATAGACATTTTTCCAAAGAAGACATCCAGATGGCTAACATACATAAGGGGCTCAATGTGACTAATCATCAGAGAAATGCAAATCAAAACCACATTGAGATATCACCTTACTATATCACCTGTTAGAATGGCTATTATAAAAAAGACAATAGGAGATAAATGCTGGCAAGGATGTGGAGAAAGGGAATACCTGAGCACTGTTGTTAGAAATGTAAATCGGCATAGCTACTAATGAAAACAGTATGGAGGTTCCTGAAAAATTAAAACTTTATCTAGCAATTTTACTTCTGGGTATCTGAAAAAATAAAGTAAAAGAAGGAAATTCTTCCATTTGCAACAACATGGATGAACCTTGAGGGCATTATACTAAGTGAAATAAGTCAGGCAGAGAAAGACAAATACTGTATGATCTCATTTGTATGTGGAATCTAAACAAGCTGAACTCATAGAGACAGAGAATAGATTGGTCTTAGTCAGGGTCCTGGGGGCTAGAGGTTGGGGTTGGGAAATGGAGAGATGTTGGTCAACAGGTACAACTTCCAGTAATAAGATGAATAAGTTCTGTGGATCTGATGTACAACATGGTGGCTATAGTTAGCAATACTGTATAGTATGCTTGCAAGTTGCTTAGATAGTAGATTTTAAGTACTTTTTTTTTTTTTTTTTATAATTCTTCACCTGAGGATGCTTTTCTATTTATCATCAGATAGAGTGGGAGGAAGGGAGACAGAGAGAAACATCGATGTGATAGAGCCACATCGACTGGTTGCCTCCCACATGACCCAGACCAGGGCCAGGGATGAGC